GATCGTCTCATCTATGCTGTTTGTACAAAAACAAAAATGAAATCATACAATTTTGCAAATGCAACTCGTGTTTCTGTTGGGCCTCTTCATCTATAAATGCGCGCGCTTGCCCACAGGTCATACCGGCATTTTTCGATCAGAGCGGCTCGCTCGTAATGGGACCACGTACTGGTACACCAATGCGCCTTGTTAGTCCGGCACCAGTGTTGGTGCCACCAGGAGCGGCACGTGCCGGCCCACCGCCGCCACAGGGCCCACCACAATTATATCCGCCACAGCCGCAGACGGCTCAACAGAATTTGTACTCACAGCAGAATGGTTCAAGCGTTGGAGGTAAGCAAAACTAAAAAGAAACGATTTGTATATAAGCTAGTCATTTACTTAAATTGATATGGTAAGCAAACAAATTTTCATATATATATTTTTTTTCATTTGTATATTTCTATATCTGTGTGTGTACATATTTGTATATTGTCGATCTCAATGCCAATTTGACGACGATTAAATGTAATATATATAATGCATATAACTAACATCAATATATTTTTAACTTACACTAAGCTTAATATTAGTAAACATATATATACATACAATGAATTATGTACCCATCTTTCTCCGCGGCCCAACTTCCAGCAGCCAAGGTTGGTCTGCAATTCTCACTTCGGTTAAGAAAATTTCCATAATATATGGCACTGATAAATTACCGACTTATAGTTCGCGATCTGCCTTCACTCGTATGGATATCATCGCAAAGTAACCTTGATGGTATTTCGTGGCAGGGATACCAAATTTGTAGACTTCTCAAATTCTGAAGTAGGGCGTTGTTGAAAAGTTTTCTGAGGTAGGGCGTTTTCGCACTGAAATAGCACCTAAAACTGCTACCGCTTAGACTTTGTTGTTGTTTTCCATTTTCCTATAGTAAATCTAATTAATTAATCCTCTACTGTTATGGAGGAGATGAATAAAAAAGTTTTAACTGTAAAAAAACATGTTGTTTACGTATTAATAAACCTATATCGAAAGAAAAATCTACTCCAAGTCATTTATTTTAAGTTTTTATATTGCGAAGAAATATTTGGAAAATTGTATGAAAACAATAGAAAACAATTGAGTAGCAGTAAACCAATTATTGATTGGCAAAGGATTGAAGACGATGTGTGAATTTAGAGAGAATTTTTTGTATTACAAGACGCACACAAAAGTGAGGTTATATTCAAAATGTCATATAACCATAGGCAAAAAAATAACGTTCCGTTATTCTTAGTTAACTTCTCAATGCATTTAATTAGTAGAAAAACATTGCCAAAGTAGTGACACCATATTTGGGTTCATATGCGTCAAAGGGTTAAATAATAAAATAATTAATAGTGAAAATTTTTCAATATGTGGGTGGCATATAATTGTGATATCTATATTAGACACTATTAAGTTTTACGATTCAGAAATTGTTAAGTGATCTTTTTTTCAAAGAAAATTAAAAATAAAAATAAATTTCCGTGATAAATTTAAGTTTATTTATTTAGTGGATGTATTTTATAATTTTTCCGAAAACTGAAAA